TACTTTAAACAAAGTACTTTTCAGTTGAGGCAGTTTGTCAACTCTCAAATATCTCAGATACTCATTTCATAATCAGAAAATCTATCGTAAGTTTATTTCTATTAATTTATACCTGTCTATAAATCTATGTTATAATATATGCGCACTATACGGTGGGGGCGCACTATAGAGCGTGAAACAGGGTAAACTTTTTTTCATGAAAAACGTACCAAAACGCGGTCGCAATCGATAATCGTGTTGAGCCGATGTGCGATCGTAAGTACCGTACAGTTTGCGAACTTATGTCTTATGGTCTGTTGTATGAGTTCATCGGTATGTAAGTCCACATTAGCCGTAGCTTCATCGAGCACCAGTATCTTATTATCCCTTAAAATCGCCCTGGCCAAACATGCCAATTGCCTTTGTCCTACACTTAGATTACCCCCACCTTCAATAAGCTCACCATCCAACTGGCCGGGTAGCTCATTCACGGTGTGCCTTAACTGTGTCTCATCCAAGGACTCCCAAATCTGACTGTCGGTGAACTCGGCAAACGGGTCGAGATTACGACGTACCGTTCCCGTGAAAACTACCGGTTCCTGCGGTATAATCGAAATACGTTGACGTAATTCGTTAAGACCTATACTTTTCGTGTCGACCCCATCCACCTCTACCACACCTGTGGGTTCAGTCATACGAAACAAAGCTGATATGAGCGACGATTTACCCGCACCGGTACGGCCCACTATACCCACTTTTTCACCAGGCTTAATTGTGAATGACATATTTTTTAGCACCGGTGTATTTAAGGTCTGGTAGAATAGGGAAACATGTTTAAACACTATTCGCCCATTCGGTGGCCAATCAGGTGGTGGTGGTTTAAGGTGGAGGTCGTTTTGTGGTGAGACTAGTGGCGCCTCTTGTGGTAGTCTCGAGTACTCAACGATACGCTCGACGGAAGTCATTTGGGACTCCAGTTCCGTAGTCTGTCGGACACCCCATTGTGTCATATATACGAGCGCCAGTGCTATTAACATTGAAAAATTGTCAAACTTAAATTGAATATGTTACAACATTATTTTGTTATTGAAACGTACCAGATGAGAATGCTAGCCCAGTATCACCAGCCGATAAGTTATCAGGGAATGACATTAACACCACCGAAATGATCACCAAATATGCGATACACAGCCAGTCCAATACCATTCCCAGTGATCGCGATGCGCATATAAATAGGAACCACGTGGCACTGTGATCATCAAGGTACACGTACAATTGTTTTTCAAAAGCCTGTTGAGCACCGTATGCACGTATACTTGCAATACCATTTAGGGTGGTGCTCACGTGCGAGTATATTGGGCTCCTGGCTAATTATTATATGGGAATCAATCAGTACAGCATGGTTAATTTATATCGACAAAATACAACTTAAGCACTCGTAGCGTTTAATGTCCCTGGCGGTTTTTATGTATACTGCCCGTACACATATGCAGATTACAATCAAGATAATTGCTGGTATAATTAAGTATGCGTTGAGTATAGCTAATACAATGATCATGCCACTTGTCATTGTAATAATCTAGAAATTTAAATTACGCATAATGATATAATTTCAGCATGCAAATGTAATGAATATAATTAGTAATTAATATTACAATGCTCACGTCAAATCCCGTTATCGGTATCATTTCATCGATAATACCAGTGTCCTTTGAGAATCGATTTAATATTCGACCTAGGTTCAAGTTTTATTTACATTAGCAAAGATATATTTACGCTAGTAATTTAATAGTATTTTATAAAGTTCGTTTTAATACAGGTTTACTTGTAAATGTTTATTTTTAGATAAATTATTTTATATCATAATACAAACCAACTGGATTATTATCAAACACGGCCATTGGTGCTCTTAATAGCCAGATAAATATATTGTTGTGTAGGTTAACGGGCGCCCGCATACACATCGCAAACAAGGTGGTCGACCGGAGTAGAGTCGCCATAAATAACGCCCCAATAAGTACGGTGTATATCATAATACTCCGATTCTGCTCGCTATCACTTCTACCTTGATCATTTACTTGGTTTTGGTCGGTCCTATACATAATATTTGTAGTATGTAAGACTACAATATCTATGAATGTACTCACCAATGAGCTAGGAATAAGTCTGAGCCGTTGTACATAATCTGAGATAATATGGTTGAAAAAATGGTCATGGTAAATAATAATGGTCCAGCTCCGGCTTTAATATACTCCCAGTACACCTGACCCTTAATTGATCCGACTTCCCGGTGTTCGTCCATTATTTTAAGTTTAGCAATATTGTTGTTATTATTCGTAAGTAACTTGGTCTAATTATAAATATAACTTAATTTTAAATGTATACGGTATAAAATTACTTACGGAATAGCTTTAAGTTTTAAAAATTTTACTTATTTAAAAAAGTTGATTATTCAATAAGTATGTAGGTAAATTTAATTAAAAATATATCCCCATAAATTACATGATATTAACTTAGTAAACTCAATTTTACCATGAACATACTTATTGAACTAACCTTATAAAAATAGCAGTTACTTACTGTTACTGTTTCAAGCATAGTAGACAGGGCTAACGAATTACTTAGGTGCCCATTTTTGTGTACATTATTACATTGCTCAGTTTTACTTTCGTTATTCGACTTATAATTGAGTTCATGTTCCCAATTCTGTTCATAGTTTTTATGCTCCCGTTCCCGAAGTATTTGCATAAAATCTAAACCCTGGGCCTGGAGGTGGTCATACGTCCCCAACCCAATACACCGACCCTTATCGAGCACCAGTATTTGCGTGGCTTTACGTACGAATTGGATTTGATGGGTGACTAGTATTCGTATTTTGTCCGATAAGTACTCGTCTATACACCTGATAATTAGGGTTAATATATTAATTTATGTGGTATATCATTATAAAGATACCTGGATCAGTGGTGTACTTATCAAATAGATGCTCGGCTACACCGATGTCCACAGCACTTAACGGGTCGTCCATTAGTACGATATCAGTGTTCCTGTAAAGAGCTCTACACACGTGTCAAAACCATATTGTTATTTACATCAAGATACTACAATTAATATCATTCAATTCCGAATCATACCTTGCCAAATTAATCCTGGCCTTTTGACCACATGATAATTGCACCCCTTTCTCTCCCACTAATGTTTTATCGCCAAATGGTAGTGCCTGTAAATCCTTTTCCAATGCGCACACCTCTATTATACGCTTATATCGACATTCGTCGTAATTCATGCCAAACAATATGTTATTAATAATATTATCGTTAAAAATCCATGACTCCTGTGATGCATAGCTAACGGTGCCCGTAATATGTATGTTCCCTTTAAACACAGGTAGCTCCCGGAGTAATACCATTAGAAATGAACTCTAAAATACATGATTAATTAATTCGTAAAGTCTAATATAAAATAGTATTTAATTTAACAATGCAGTATTTTTTTATACCTTTCCCGAACCTACCGGTCCTATAATCGCAAGTAGATCTCCAGGCCTTAACTCGATAGAGATATTATCGAGAGTGTCGTATAGAATGTCCTGAAATTAACACATATTTGTTAGTAATGTAAATCAATGTGTGTATTATATTACAATATTGTAGACTATCCAACACATACTTGATCCCATTTGGTGCTAATATTATTTACCGATATTGCACTACACGGTTTACAGAATCTGAATGTTAAATAATCTATATCTAACGATTTTATACCATCGGTATTTATTTCATCTAATTGCAAAAATTTCTAAAAATGACAATAAAATGGGGTATTTTAAAAATTTTCCATTAGTATTTAAATATTGATTAATCACCTGTATCCTTTTGCAAGAAACATACAACTCGGATCCTGTCTCAAAAACCCTGGGCACATTATACGTTATACAGGAGCGCAATGTATTGAATAGTGTCATGGTAACAAAAACTGCTCTGGCTGTCAAAATGTTCCCGGTCATTACGTATATGACAAAGCACACGAATAGTATTAAACGAGTGGCCACAAAATAAATTGACATATTTAATCCTTTTAGGAACAAGGTCATTCGTATGCACGATATTTCTTTTCTAAAATCATATAGACAATTAATAACAATTTTATATTTCATTATTTAATTACTTTCTAGCCAGGTCAACTAAATTAACAAATGATTTCTCCCAAGCATACATCTTGATAACACGCATACCGGCTATAATTTCGTTAATATATTTGAGCCGGATATCCGTTAATATAGCTGTTTTGGACCTATGCATGATATAACATGTTATTTTTTTTAAAAATTATTATATTTTCTATCAAGTTTGCCTGATATTTGTAAACACTCTACACATCAACGCCTGTATGAACGTAATCAAGACAAACAAGGTAAAACCAACATAATATACCCAACCAATTTCCATCCAGATTATATAAGATGCCACTACCGTAACCACTGGTGTCGTTACAATATTCGTAACATATAACGAAAACTAATATGAATTATAAAATAAAATTAAGATTTTGAAATCCATAATTTTAAATAATGTACCTCGTCTATACGGTTGACGTCATTAGACATAAGATTAACAATTTGGCCCACCGTTGTCTGGCACATGGAGTTCTTGTTTAATTTTAAAATCTGAAAAAGTTTTATATCCAGGTATGAATTAAAAATTATTATATTGTTAGATTTATTTTTTTTAAATCTACCTTTTTGTATAACAAGGCACAGGTGGCACTCCTGGCGCGCATACCTATTTGCATTACTCGCAGTAGGTGGGGGTGTGCTGTAAATACAAATAGGGCTGAGCTAAGACACATAACAGCTGCCGACCAACAGGCATGGCTATAGGTCACCCCATTTACGGCACTAAAATAGTCTATTATATAACCCAAAAGTACGGGCTGTGCCATAAGTAGTACACATTCCTACAATATCAATTAAATTATCCATTTAAATTTAAATAATATTGTAATTAAAAAAATTTACTTGCTTCAAAAAAATTTGCAATAAGTGGTACAACAAAACACCTTGAGTATGTCCAAAATAATGTACACCAAAATTGTGGCGATTTTTTTGCTTGTTCCATGGTCCAATTTCTGTATAAAATATTTATTATGATAAGTATTTATGTTTTAAAATTTATAAATTAATTTGTATGATAATTTGTACAATATGTTTTGGTTTATAGTTTCAAAAAATATAAATTTACTTTTCAAGCTCCTTAACAATGTGTTCAGACTCATCAGATTGAGAGCACCGGTACATATCATCCATGTACAGTCGTTTATTACCCCACCCGGTCCAAAATATTGGGTACACCCAGCTATTAACCAAACAATTTTTATGTCAATTATTGTTATATATTATGTTAATCATTATAGCTAACTAATTATCTACTTTTAAATGTATAATAAATAAATATTAAAATTTGTTGAATACAATTTACCAACCTTAATAGTATTTTTTCAATAAAGGTCATGCTGTCCCATGGTGATATGCCAGTAATTTTAGCACTTTCATACATTATTAATAAATAAATGTTTTAAAATATTTTATTATTTTATTATCTAATAATTTATCTTAAACAATATACGGTATGACTATTATTAATAGTCTATTAACAGTAATAATATAACATGAGCATTGTTATATTTAATTAAATATGTCCATAAGTGTAATTATTTAGAAATTATGATGATTAATAATAATAAATCTGTTTTCGTGGAATAACTATCAATCAAAGTGGAAATGTGGTAGGTAAATTATATTCAAATTGTTGACATATTAATTATACCGATACAATCTACGTGAGCATTTAAACTACATAATTATAATGTAATAAAATAAATTTTAAAAATAAATAACAAATCAAATAAATTGATAATGTAGATTATATTTATAATTTAAAGTTAATAAATAGTAATAATTAGACATAATCTTTTAAATAAAACTACTCGCCCTCCCTTTTCTACTTCCATAGTTTTATAGTGTCTGAGATGTGCCTGTTTAGACATTTGTATCAAATTATTGCTCATATAAACTGTATATAAAATTTTAATTTAGCCAAATGAATGATCCCGTGTTATAATATTCATTTATATATATATAAAGATACGGTCACTTCTATCCCGGGTCGGGAAAAGTTGAATAGCTTTCGAATGGATTATCCAATCTATAATCTCTAACCGATTTTTATAATTCCAACATCATTTTGTTTGTCAATAAAGTGCACTTTTTATGATCTTTTGAATTTTTAAAATTTATCAAAAACCCGTTTCTAACTTTTTAACCATAGGTTCTAGAACAAAATTGAATAGCTCATAATGAAGATCACAAAAAATTAGTTAAGATCAGTTTTTAAAACCAAATTTGTAATTACGATTCTATAAATTTATTAAAGTTATAATCCTAATAATAACGATAACTTGTGTTTTAGTAAATTTATACTAATTACCCTTTTAGATTTAGATTAAAAATGAATGTTAAATTCTAATCTGTACTAATTTTTTGTGATCTTCCTAATAAACTATTCAAATTTGTTCTAGAACCTATGGTTAAAAAGTTAGAAACGGATTTTTGATAAATTATAAAATTTCAAAAAATCATAAAAAGTGCACTTTAATGACAAACAAAATGATGTTAAAATTATAAAAATCGCAATAAAAATGACCAAGATACAGTAATTTAAAAATTGAGACTGTTTAGAATAAATTATGAAAAATGAAGCAAAACCTCCATGTTATTTCAATGAGAAATGTTGGTTAAACTTTGAAGGTAAATTACTAAGTTATCATGATGAATTTGTATGGCAAATAGTATATCACCAGATTTTGACATTATCCAGCTACAATTTAGTGAAAACGGATTAAAGATTGAATAATCCATTCGAAAGCTATTCAACTTTTCCCGACCCGGGATAGAAGTGACCGTATCTGTATAATCCCACTTTGATAACTTTTGATTTCAAAAATATTCATCTAGTAATTCAAATATTTTATTAATAAAATGAGTATTTTAAAAAATCTAGTCATAAACAATCTTATAAACTTATAATTTATTCAAAATTTAAGGCAACAAAATACTTTGTGTCATTTTTTTTGGCAATTACAAGCATTTTTATAATAACAGGTTTCATTGCTAGTTTAATAATTATTATATCGATCAAATCAATTTGAGCATGTTACACTAAATAATTATGATGATATAAAATAAATTTAAAAATAAATACCAAATCAATTAAATTCGTAAACAGCATTAATAAACACTTTAAGATCCATATTATCAACAAATGATCTAGTTTAAAATGTTTATAAGGAATCGTAGCCTGAATATAAAATTAAATCAAAAATCAACATGTAAAATACCTTATAAAGAAAATTGTTGAAAATATTTATAGCTAGATGATAAAATATAATAATTAGACATAATCATTCAAATAAAACTACTCGCCCTCGCTGAATAAATATTTAAATATATTTGAAAAACAGAAATATTGTGTATTTTATTTAATCATTGAATTTATTTACTTGACAACATGACTTTTCAACATATGTACTAAAACATGAATTACTAGAATTTAAATAATTATTAATAATTACAGAATAAACTTAAATAATTAATAGTGTTTTGCAATTTAATTTTCTGATCATTTAAAAGTTTATTGTTTTTGAATAAGTGCATACAAGTTACCTTGTTAGATAGGGACCATAGTAAATATTTTAGATATGGATACCGATGCTAGTTTAATGTCGAGAAAATTCAAATTTAACCTTACAATTATTTTGTGTGTTATGTATTTTGTATTTGTAAGTTAATTAGGGATTGTTAAAAAACTAAATTATAAATTTAAAAACTATAAATATTGGGTATTTGCAAAAGTATTTCAATTCACATTTGAACTTTAAAACAAAATTATCTCTGAAACCTTGCTGTACAAAAAACCTACCTGTGCCGACCTACCGGTGCTCTAGCAGAGTAATCTCTTTGGGTGAATACATAATAGGAAAAACCATAGTTGAGGTTCAAAATAATTTCGATACCGCTACCCCGTTACTAAATAAATCTTATTTCGCAAAACTTTTGCAAACAATATTTAAAATATATTTTTACCTAATTCTTTACCTAGCAACTTAATGTTATAATCATTGGGCCCGCGCTTACGACTCTACAACGGGTATTTGACACATCCCTGGCCGGTATATCTAATGCATACGATATGTATTACATTGGTCGAACCTTGGGCACACTAGGTAAATAATTGTATTATACCTAACTTTGAAAACTGACTTAGACATTAGTAGCAAACATTTATTGGTCACCAATGGGTTTAGTAATTTACCAACCACTATAGCCATCCTACAATAAAAGTGTGCTACTAATATAAAAGCGGCGCCAAAAGGGTTGTTAATCGTTGTATTAAATTAGCTATGGGTTAGAATTGAGCTAGATTAAAACAAAATTTTTTGAAACTATTGTTTTTTGGCACGAATATACTCGTATGCCAACTTTCCCCTAAATCTTAAGGGAACGGTAGCTACAACACATTGCTTAGATCTCAAAAACTATACAACATTTTTAAGTACTGATTTTTGGAAATGATGCGCGAGGTCATTCCTAGAAAAGTAATTTCTTGATTTGTCGAAATTTTACTCCCTTGATTTTTAAAAATTCCCTAAATGTCAAAAATTCTAATTTTTAGGAGTAGTTATCTCAGCAATGGGTCAAGGTATTTGGGTTCTCTCAGCAGGGCTCGAAAGATCTTTCAAAATACTAAAGATCATTTGCTGGCATGAACAGTGTATCAAGATCAACAAACCCTCTATTCTACAAATCAATATTTCCTATGCAATTAATTTATCACTTAATTAATTAATCTTATTGTTTTACACCTTTACCTGTAAAAATAAAATTCATAGGAAATATTGATTTGTAGAATAGAGGGTTTGTTGATCTTGATACACTGTTCATGCCAGCAAATGATCTTTAGTATTTTAAAAGATCTTTCAAGCCCTGCTGAGAGAACCCAAATACCTTGACCCATTGCTGAGATAACTACTCCTAAAAATTAGAATTTTTGACATTTAGGGAATTTTTAAAAATCAAGGGAGTAAAATTTCGACAAATCAAGAAATTACTTTTCTAGGAATGACCTCGCGCATCATTTCCAAAAATCAGTACTTAAAAATGTTGTATAGTTTTTGAGATCTAAGCAATGTGTTGTAGCTACCGTTCCCTTAAGATTTAGGGGAAAGTTGGCATACGAGTATATTCGTGCCAAAAAACAATAGTTT